TAAATAAAATCTCAGATTTCTTTAAATCCCAGACATTCCTTCTTGATAGTAATATTAATCTCTGGCTTTGGTGACGTATTAATTATAACGCTTGGAGACTCAGTCCAAATGTGCAGTTGGAGCACCTCTATTTTTTTCCTATCTATCCCATTTGGCCTCTTTGAGACCTTTCAGGACAAAAGGACTATCATCTTTTATGCTGGGAAATTATGTTGTTATTTCTCAAATATTTCAAGATTCAAACTAGTTTAAGTAAAAGTATGTCAGATAAACGGGCTTAACTGGATGTCTGACATTACAGCAGAGCTTCGAGGTTGGCTGAATTCCATGAGTGATTCAGTTCTCTGATTCTCCCCTGAGGATGTACCTTCCTCTAGTGTTGTCTGTAATTCTTCTTTACCTTCACACCCACAGAACACTCCATCCTCCTTTGCTCTTCAAAGCAAAGAAACTTCTCTCCCAAAAGATAAAAGCAATCTACATTTCCTTACTCAGTTACTTCAATTTCTGAAATGTTTGTGCTAATCAGATTGGTCTAGATTCCTGAACTAATCAATGCACAAAGGGGTTTGGGATTACATTTAAACCAATCAGGCCAACCCTGTAAGATCTGTTTTCTGGAAAGCACGTGTGACAGTGGTTCTCAAATTTGCCTGCCCATTAGAGTCACCTGGAGAGCTTTTAAAAAGTACCCAAGTGCAGACTGTTCCCCAAAACACTTAAATCAGAATTTCTGGGGGTGGCATCCAAGCATCAGTAATTTTTAAAGTTCTCCAGCTGATTACAATGGACAGTCAGGTTTGAGCAGCACATAGGGATTCGGTGGACTCCTTAATGAAAATCAGGAAACTATTAGAAAAACAGGAGAAAAGTAAATGCTACATAGTAATATATATTATAGGACTATCAACTTCTAAGTTGTATTTCATGACAAACACAGAAGAAGAAATAAAGTCTTGAATACTTTAAGGAAACATAAGGAGAAATCGTCTGGAAGAATTCTTTAAGGTGATAGCCTTCCTCCCCACTGCACTGTTTTTTTTTTAGCAGTTTGATTCACTTTTATTTTATTATTTTTCTTTAAGAAAGCAAAATCCTGTGTTTGTGTTCTTTTCGCTGAGTCCTACGTGCAGCTCTCAGATTGCCAACTCCATATACCCACTTGAATGTCAAAAAGCTTCTTGAATTTAAATCACAACTCTGGATCACTCTTCAATGCCCCAACCCACACCTCCTTCCCATACTCCATCCTAATTAACAGCACCAGATGTTCAGGGGTGTATGGGGGGCTCAGTTGGTTAAGCGTCTTAATTTCCAGTTCAGGTCATATTCTCAGAGTTGGGGGGGGGTTCAGTCCTGCCTCAGGCTCCCTGCTCAGGAGGGAGTCTGCTTGAGATTCTCTCCTCCTCCCTCCCTGTCTGCCCCACCCCACAGCATACACTTTCATATAAACAAATAAAAAAATATACACACAGCACCAGTTGTTCAAACCAAAATCTTAGGGGTTTTGCTCTTACATAATCTTATTCCTCACCAAAATCTAATTTTACCTCCAAAATATAATCCTAATTCCAACATATCTAACCATCACCATTATTATCACTGTATTCCAATCCAAAGTGTCTAGACTTCCTAGTGGTTCTCACACTTTAGCACCCATTGGAATCACCCAAAGGATCTTTTAACAGATTATTGGGGCCTGAAATTCTCACTTTTAATAGATTCTCAGGTAATGCTGACGCAGACTTCAGGAATCACTGCTCTAATCCACAACACTACAAGAGCCTCTTACTTGGTTTTCTTGCTTCTACTGTGGACAGTCTAGGATCTATGACCCACTAAGCAACCAGAGTAATCTTTTTTAAGGTTAATGAGGTCATATTATGCAGATCCCTGCCTAAAACAATCCAAGATCCTAAAACTCAGAACCCTCAAATCAATCAATTCCCTTTTCATTTTCCCAGCCATATTGGGCTTTCTGCACCTCCAGCATTTCACTCTTTACTGCTTCAGAAATTACCCATTTTTTGTTCCCAGTGTGTGGAAATAGCCTTTAAATCGGACAAACTATTCTAAGTAACAATTTTTGGGGGAAATCACTATTACCATTTTAGGCAGGTTTTGTGGGATTTGATTAGCGGTGGAGGAGCAGAGAGAAGGCACAACCATTAAGGGCTAATTCCTCCATCAAAATCAGCTTCACTTTTCCTAAACGGGGAATTTTCACATAAATGATTTAGTCAGGTGCTTGTGAATCAAGGATAGATACGGACTCGAGGGATTTGTTGGAACCAAATATAAAAGCTATCATTTCTTAGCACACATAACTAAATATTTAAGTATCACGACCGTTTTACCAATTGGGAACACCATATGTTGTTGGTTTTATCCTTTTTTGCCGTGCATAAATAAGTTTACCAAAAATCAACACAGCCTTTCTCAGTCTAACAACTTACTACACATGTTCTAAACGCAGTAAAGCTAAAGCCAGTTTCAAGAACAGTCCTCTTCGAAAGGACAGCGCACCTACGCCTTTAGTTTTTCAACCTACCTAAACATATTTTCTCTCCTAACTGAAAAGAGACGGACCTTTTAATTGAACAGGCATGAATTTAATGTACTTGAAAAGAAGCCCCCAAAAACAAACTAGGAGACATAACACAACACGTGAACAGCTTCTTTCACCGAGAAGGTGGGTGGCTCTGAAAAGAGCCTTTGGAGTGAAGCGACCGGCGACCCGTGCGAGCGCCGTGTCCCGGCAGGGACTCACTTGGAGCTGGTGTACTTGGTGACCGCCTTGGTGCCCTCGGACACGGCGTGCTTCGCCAGCTCGCCGGGCAGCAGCAGGCGCACGGCCGTCTGGATCTCCCGGGACGTGATGGTCGAGCGCTTGTTGTAATGCGCCAGGCGGGAGGCCTCGCCGGCGATGCGCTCGAAGATGTCGTTGACGAAGGAGTTCATGATGCCCATGGCCTTGGACGAGATGCCGGTGTCGGGGTGCACCTGCTTGAGCACCTTGTACACGTAGATGGAGTAACTCTCCTTGCGGCTGCGCTTGCGCTTCTTGCCGTCCTTCTTCTGGGCTTTGGTGACCGCTTTCTTGGAGCCCTTCTTGGGCGCGGGAGCGGATTTTGCCGGCTCGGGCATAGCGACAGACCAAGCGCGGACCAGAAACGCACGCAGCACAGTAAGGCCCAGGCTACCGGAAGCGCCTCGGTACTTAAAGAGGCCGTAGGCAAATTAAGGCTCTGGTTACGGCGCGTCGTGATTCGCGATTTTTCGGCGGCGCTCGGGCGCGGGGGACGAGATTATGTAAATAAGCGGATTCTGGCCGAGCCACCCTATTGGCCGTCAGGACAAAGATCTGCTTGAGCCAATCGAAGTGCTCCGTAGACAATCCGGGTTCTGCCTATAAAAGGGTGAAGTGGGGCGCTCTGCGGCGACTTTCTCGGTCGTCAAGCGGGAGGTGTTGGCCGCGAGTGTCGCTGTCATGTCTGGTCGTGGCAAACAGGGAGGCAAGGCTCGCGCCAAGGCCAAGTCGCGCTCGTCCCGCGCTGGCCTGCAGTTCCCGGTGGGCCGGGTGCACCGCCTGCTGCGCAAGGGCAACTACGCCGAGCGGGTCGGGGCCGGCGCGCCGGTGTACATGGCGGCGGTGCTGGAGTACCTGACGGCGGAAATCCTGGAGCTGGCGGGGAACGCGGCCCGAGACAACAAGAAGACGCGCATCATCCCCCGCCATCTCCAGCTGGCCATCCGCAACGACGAGGAGCTGAACAAGCTGTTGGGCAAAGTCACCATCGCCCAGGGCGGCGTTCTGCCCAACATCCAGGCCGTGTTGCTCCCCAAGAAGACGGAGAGTCACCACAAGGCGAAGGGCAAGTGAGGCCGGCGTCCGCAAACCCCGCCAGCCCTGGTCTCGAAGGGGGCAACTGTGAAATCAAAGGCTCTTTTAAGAGCCACCCACTGCCTCAAATAAAGAGTTGTTAACAGTAGCCAGTCTTTTCCGTTCCGTCTTTGCCAAGTGGTAGGCCGAGCCCCCCAGAGACAAGGAGGCGCGGCGTAGGGGAGGGGGGATTGTCCCTCCACCGTCGCTCGCCTCTCTGAACCCTGAGCGCTCGGCCGTCTTCCTTTTGTTTGGTAGAGGGGCCGAACCTCTTTGGGTGCAGCCACGGTCGATTAGGTCCGGAGTACTGTTAGGCGGCCCCCGACTCCCGTCTCAGGAGTGGGTGCCCACGGTGCCGAGTGCGCAGCTCGCCGCGTTTCCGAGGCCTTTGCCCAACACGCACGTGCGCCCCCAGCTGGCAGGGGAGCGGGCAGTTTCCCGGGGGTGGGGCGGACCTGGTCCTTGGCTTAACGGAGTCGGCTGTCTTAGTCCAGTAAAAGAGAGGGACCGCCCTCGCAGCGGCGGTACAGGTCCGCACTTGGGTTTCTGGGGGCGGGATCTTGCGCTCGAGGGGCGGCGGGCGGCGGGCGTGGGTGAGACACCTTTCCAATCTGAAAACCACCGGCAGGCGGGAAAAAAGATCCGTCAGACGAACGAGGGGGCTCCTCACAGGTCACAAGGCGTTTTGGGGGACGGGGAGCAAACGCAAGATTGAGGTTGAATTGGGGAGAGAGCGTGGGAAGGAAGGAAGGGGGTGCGGAGCGGTGTTCTACGGGGGCGAAAGGCCGAGGAGGAACAACATTCTGACACGGTTATGAACCCAAATGGGCCTCCCCCCGCCGGCCGAAAAGAAAGGAAAAACAAGGTAGGGAAGACTGTTGGCCAACTGGAAAGTAGACTGAGCGAGGCGGGTGGGCGGGGGTAGGGAGGATTCTGCCCAAGCCAATGGGTGACGGCAGGGCGGGTGACGTCACGGCCAATGGACAGCCAGCGCGGGACTTTCAATTATTGTCCCGCCCAATCGGAAAAAGACGGTGCCTATAAAGGCTGGTGCAGCGGGCGGCGGCCGCGTCACTCTCGCTGCCGCTGCGCTGGTGAGCTGGTGTTTTGGTTCGCTATGGCTCGCACGAAGCAGACCGCCCGCAAGTCGACCGGTGGCAAGGCCCCGCGCAAGCAGCTGGCCACCAAGGCGGCCCGCAAGAGCGCGCCGGCCACGGGCGGCGTGAAGAAGCCGCACCGCTACCGGCCGGGCACCGTGGCCCTGCGCGAGATCCGGCGCTACCAGAAGTCCACCGAGCTGCTGATCCGCAAGCTGCCGTTCCAGCGGCTGGTGCGCGAGATCGCGCAGGACTTCAAGACGGACCTGCGCTTCCAGAGCTCGGCCGTGATGGCGCTGCAGGAGGCGAGCGAGGCCTACCTGGTGGGGCTGTTCGAGGACACGAACCTGTGCGCCATCCACGCCAAGCGCGTCACCATCATGCCCAAGGACATCCAGCTGGCTCGCCGCATCCGCGGGGAGCGGGCTTAAAGTGAGCGCCCGGCTCGAGCTTCCATCCTATCCATCCAAAGGCTCTTTTCAGAGCCACCCACGGCAACACTCGGAAGAAGCTGTGCCACTTAGTCGTCCGCTCCTTCCCGGCGGACGCTTCCCTATCGCGGGAGGGTAGGACACTAGGGCGGGGTCAAGCCGGGCGCTGCCCACGGGTAGCGTGAAGACCACGCGCCGGGTGGAGGGATACCCCGTTGGCTGGCTTCCTACTCCGGGGCGGCCGGGACCCCCAGTTGTGCTTCTGGGAGACGGCGGTGCCCGCTCGCTTTACTCTTTGGGCCCTTCGGAGTGGGGGGTCCGGGGGGGAGGGGCGCGTCTTTACGCGCTCTACTGCGACCGGGGTTTGTAATCTGTAAGAAGGGGAGGGGCTTTCGGGCTCGAGAGGGGGCCGAGTCGGCGAGGAGTCCCTAGGGGACGGGACGCTCGGGACTCGCCGTCCAGGGCAGGCCCGGGCGGGCTGTTTAGGCCCCGGGAAGCGCGGGCGCGCGGCGATGGCTGCGCGCGGGCGACCTCCACACCCCCGCCGGAAGTGGCCCCGAGAGGCGCGGCCCTCCGGCTGCGGAGGGAAACCGGCTCCTTCGTGTCGCCCGGCCTCTGCGGGGTCAAGGTCGGGATTCCCGAGCTTTGCGTATATCTAATTCCCACGTTTTTAGGCATAGGGCAACTCCCTATGCTCTACCTCTAAGCCTAACTTGTGATGGCGGGGGAGGCGGGAATGTGACTGACCAACCGCGACTTGAGTGAGCTGGGCCTTCGTTGGTCCGTTCTCCGCATAGATCCATAGTAGTGAGACTCGCGTGTGTTGTGTGAAGGTCTCTCTAAAAGCTGCGACTGGTGTCTGGATTCTCTGTCCAGACTTGTTATCTGTTTTCTTCAGACACATGGGAACTCTTTTCGGGTATCTGAGAGGTTACTCAGAGAAAGGACAGAGGTGGGGCTTCTGAAGGGAAGTTCTTGGGAAGAGAGAATAAAGAGGCAGAACATGGTCCTCCTGTAGGAGATGAAGTTCCCCACTATTAGGAAATAATGAGGGTGTGGGTCTTAGGGGATGATTCTTGTACCATTTGGGAAGTGGAAGAGCAAGCCCTCTTGGTGGCATGGGACGGAGTCTTGCAGAGTCCCCTCCACAGAGCTCAGATGGAAAGGCTCTACAGGTCTTGTGTATATGACACCTCTTTTTAAATTTAGTCACTTACTTGCCCTGGAATAGGCCAAGACTTAGGTTTTCTGTTTTGTCGCAGCACAGTGACAGGTTAAAAACATTCCAGTAAGAATTCACAAGGGAAAGAAGAGGAAAGGAAGGAAACCTAGTTTTTTGTTTTAAAGATTTTATTTATTTATTTGACAGAGAGAGGGGGAACACAAGCAGGGGGAGTGGGAGAGTAGGGCTCAATGCGGGGCCCAATCCCAGGACCCCGGGATCATGACCTGAGCCAAAGGCAGATGCTTAACAACTGAGCCACCCAGGCACCCCATGAAATGTAGTTTTTTAAAGCTTCTGTTGCCTCTCCTGAAATGTGTCAGCGGGAGACCAGTGTATTTTTTGTAGGGACTGTGGCCCCTCCTCCAGGGTCACAGCAATCTCCAGAGCATGCCCCCAGGTTCCTAGTCAGACCATTATTCCCTGCTTAGGCCCTCAATGCAGGATAGATCCATGGTCCTGGGTCTGTACTGAGTTAAGAAGTAGTAACTTTTAGAGGTGTGGGGGGCACCACCTTTGCACCCATCATCTCATCCATCTATGGCAAACCTTTCAGGGACATAACAGGGCTTTCTGAGGTAGTCTGAGGCTCTCTCGGGTGTGGCTTGTTCAACATTTAGGCCCAGGAGCGGCTGAACAGCCCCTGGAACCTGTGATGTTGGTTACAGGTGTCAGTCCTCTACATTCTATGTTTGCCCCCAGTATCACACTGCCTTAATTTACCAGTCAGAGCGCCTCTAACCTCCAGGAGGTCTCCCTGTCTGAACCTCAAAGGGAAATTTAGTGGCACTGTTGATAGTCAGGAATAGAAGAAAATCTTGTGTTCCTTTTAATGTAAAAGCCTCCCCTCCCAGCAATCTTTCAAATCTTTGGTTAGGAGACCAGCACAAACCACACATCAATACAAAATAACAATTTAAAATGTAAATTTTCACATTTAATAATTTCTATACTTAATTGTCTACTCTTTTTTTTAGATTTTATTTATTTATCTGACGGAGAGACACAGGGAACACAAGCGGGGGCGGGGGGCGGGGAAGGGGGAAGGAGAAGCAGGCTTCCAGCTGAGTTGAGTTTGTCGTGGGGCCCAGTCCCAGGACCCTGGGATCATGACCTGAGCCCAAGGCAGACACTTAACCCAGGTGCCCCTTAATTGTCTACTCGGGTGAGAGTTAAAAGATGGTTAAGGACAAGGTAAATAAATGCTCTTCCTGTAATAATTAGCTTCTACATGACCAGCTGGGTTGTAGGAAAAGTCTACCTTGAACCTGCGTTTTTTTGTTTTTTGGGGTTTTTTTTAAGATTTTATTCATTTATTTGACAGAGCACAAGCAGGGGGAGAGGAAGAGGGAGAGGGAGAAGCCAGCTCCCTGCTTAGTGGGAAGCATGATGCAGGACCCTGGAATAATGGCCTGAGCCAAAGGCATTTAACCGACTGAGCCACCCAGGTGCCCCTGAACCTGGGATTTTTAAGAAGTGAAAACCAGTTTTCAGATTTAAATCTGCCTTAAGGTAGTGGGTGTGTGTGCATTTGTAGAGGTAAGCTCTGTGGTATGGCCCTGTTGACAGTACCTTTGCTTCCTTGGAAGAGAACTTGGCCTCTGGGTTCACAACCTCTCCTGGTCATTCTTATCCTTCACATCCCCATCTCAACCTTCTCATGTTCTCCTCCTCTTTCTCTGCCAGGCCCACCGATATTCCTGGGTTCATTCATGCTGACCTTAGTTTTTTCTTCCCTGAAACTCAAAGGAGATCATGGATTCCCTGCTTGCCATATCTCTACCTCCCCCAAGTGTTCCCAAATTGGTATCTTCCACTGAGCCCCCTGTCTTGAGCTGTACACCAATATTTCTAACTGCTGGGTGGCCAGGTCCTTCTGGATAGGTAATAAGCACTTCACGCTCATTTCTAAAAGTGCATCATCTTACTTCGCAAAGCTATTTTCCCCCTTCCATATTCCCGATCTTGCTGAAAGATACCTTCAGCCTCCAGTCTGTTCAGGGCAGAATTTCCTTCCTCCGGCCCTTTGTCCAGATTTCATGCTATCAAATCTACTTTCTGACTTTCAGTACCATCACTCGTTCCCTATCCATCCAGGGTCCCTGTGTTAACCGAGTCCCCACCCACTCTGATCTGGAGGATTAAGCACTCAGGCTAGACTCTGCCCTGCCACTAAGCTTCCATTCTGTGTGAGAGCTATCTTTTTTGAAAAGCATTTTTTTGAGCCTGTCACTCTCATGTTTTATTTTTTTTTCCACCTCCTTCCCATTCCTGTCAGGTTAAAGTCTACCTTCTTTTGCATGATAGTTCAGAGCAATGGAGGTTAATAACTAGTAGGGACTCTGCAGTTAGATGAACCCAAATTTGATGGCCTTACCCCAATAACAGGTATGTGACTTCAGCAGGTAAATCTCTGTAGGCCTCGCTTTTCCAATTTGTAAATTGGGGACAATAGCATCCTGCTAATAGTGTTTTGGAAATATTAAAAGTGACAGTTCCTGTAAGGAACCTAGCACAGTGTCTGGTCCAGAATAAACATTCAGTTAATTTTAGCTACTCTATTAACAGTTATTAAATTTAAAAGATCCCAATAAGAATTAACATACATCTAGTTCCTGGCATTTCTCAGAGCCTTCCCAGCTTTCAGACACTCTGCCAGCCAAACAAGTAAGTTCTAGCCCCATAGAACATCTGCAATCCCCAAGTATACAATGGCTTCACACAATCCATTTCTTCTATTTTGTCTGTCTTCTCCTTTTTTGTAGCCCCAAGAACCCCTGCTCATTCTTCAAGATCCAGCCCTGTGTAGCTCCCCCTTCCCTTTCTCTTCTTCACCCTCATCTCCTTGGGCACTCCTCCTTGGCCTCTCCCTCCTGCTATACTTACACCCCTTCCTTTACCCTCAGCAGGAGGCCAGCAGCTTTGCTCAGGGTGAAGATCATCTTGTTTTCTCTCTTGTTCAGCCCCGTGGCATCAGCACCCAGGCCTGCCACAGGTGGTCAGGAAATGCTTGATGAGGGGCCTGCCCTTTGGCTCTTACATGAGAAAGCTGGGGACAAGATGCTCCAGCTCTTGGGGTCCTTGCCGTTTAGAGATCAAGAGCAGGTCTGAACTGGACCTCTGCAAAGAACTTTCAAGGTCCTTGGGGGGTGTCTTGAAACATGGGAGCAAGAAACTGCCCGTGAGCAGAGTATCTGGAAAACCTGTTCCTGGTGATAGTAACTAAGAAAAGAGTTCCCTGAGCTATACTCCCAGCAGCAGCCCCAATCTCTTGCTGAATGCAGATGATCTGGGGAGGAATGTCTCTCTTTATATCCCCCAAAGACCTCAGATTTCGCCCTGCTGATCAGATTTTTGGGGGATGTGATGGGGGATGAGGAGCAGGCCGTAAAGTGCACATAGGGAGAGCTGGGAGGAGGACGCAGGACAGCGGAGGAGAGAAGGGGTAAGGAGCGAGGTCCAGGGCGCTTGCTGCTTTGAACTGGGGCTGAAGCCTCAGGCCCTTTGTGGGTAGGACCAGGGCTCCTGATCCCTAACCAGGGAAAGGCTCCAAACAGATAAGACTGGGATCTCCATTTCCTCCTGTGTAAAGCAGGATCATAATTGCACCCAAAGCAGGAATACTGTGAGGATGAAAAGAGACCATACGGTCCACACAAAATGCTTGGAACAGAGCCTTACATGTGGTAATAAATCAGCATTAACAGTATCATTAACATCGAGAATGTAAATATTAGTGACAAAGAGTAATCAATATGAATCGATGTAAGTCCAAGTTACAACCATGTCCAGTCACAATCATGACACACATAAAAATTGGTGAATAACTGTAAATACACGACCAGCTTCTAGACTGTGTGGCTCATGCAGTAATAATATCCAGGTCCAGTTTCCTAGACGGCTTATCACTCATCTTTCACTCACCTCTCATTCAATTTCACAATAACCCTGGGAGGGAGGAAGGGCTTTTTTTTTTTTTTTCCTTTTTTAAGATTTTATTATTTGTCAGAGAGAGTGTGCACAAGCAGGGGGAGCGGTGGGCAGAGGGAGAAGCAGGCTGGACTCCAGGATCATGACCTGAGCCGAAGGCAGACGCTTAACCAAGTGTGCTACCCAGGCGTTTCTGGTTCCTGTTTTCTAAATCAATTTTACCACCTGCTAATGGGTTACAACCTGGAACTGAAAACCACTGCAATAGAGAAAATTACGAAGAACAAAGTAAAATCATCACTGAAATGAAAAATTGTTATTACTTTGTTTAGCAGGAATCCCAGCATCTCTTCATGCCTGGAAACACGTGTATGAGTTTGCAGCATTTATGGGAATCAGTTTTTCAGGCTGTGTGAGGAGCCATGCACTATTATGGAAGGCATGCTGTGGCAGGTGGCAGAGAAGGTTCAGATGAG